AGCCCTCAGCCTCTACTGCATACCGACAAACCACAAACTTAACAGACTGAAATCTAAAATTCCTCTTTGAAATTCCTAGTTCACAAGTCCCTTCCCTTCATGACTCCACCATTTCTCGTAACTGTGTCTTCAGAATCCAATTCAATGAGCTACTGACTCTAAAAGGCTCTACATATAATCTGTCTCCTGGCTTACTGTCCTCTTCAGACCAGCTAACTGGCCTCTTCCGCTCTCTTTTCATTCCAATCTATCTGATAGTTACACTGAATTAATATTCCAAATGCACAGTTCAAATAGTATAGATTGTGCATTCAAAACACACACACACATACAGAGAGAGAGAGAAAGAGAGAGGTCTGCCAAGTTCTCTTCAAGTCAAGTAAATAACCAGCTGGACAGCTCCGTGGTCCCTAAGCTTGGAGCATGTCCTGTGATTCATGATTCCGTTCTTTTGTCCAAATCACTCTCCTTTCTTCTGGTTCCTAGAAAGACTCAAATCTTTGATTTAAGTCTCGGCTTAAGCCTTAATGACAATACGTGTGTTGGTTGTTACGGGACACATAAATCAATGGAAGTGTGAGGAGCAGGAACAAACCAGATGTGCCTGATCCAGTGCTCACTGAAGAAAGCTTTCGCTCATCACCCTTTCTGGAGGCTCCGTGATCCCTACTGCTCTGAGGCAGGGCTTGCCTCTTCGATATGATTACAAAGTTTGCCGGGAGTCAACACAAGGTTTATCTCAAGCCTGTGGATTCCAATTATACACACCACAGCTGTTCTTCATTACCTGGCAGGACCAAGAATTGTCTGGACTTTAACCATTTGGTATTTACTGTAATTATTTCTCTTTTAATGTTGTGATCGAAATCTGGTTGAGGGGGTGGGGAAAGGTTGGTGGTGACACGTGGAACCCCTGGACGCAGGGCTGTAACTAACATTGATAACATTCGTCTTTGAGATGCTGATTGAAGTTATTAAGGAGCAGAAGCAAAGTGTCAGGGATTTAGATCTTTCCCTAGACATTTCTTCCTTTAGCCTTCCTCCAATGTTGAGAGCAAAGTGAAATGCTTCCGAGGCTTGTTTTTGTGAGAGGGAAAACCACAAAGGCCTGCAAGGGATCAGCGATTCCTTTTCCTCTGTGCTTCAGATAAGAAGCTGAAGTTCACTGGTATGGGGAGGGGAACAGGTGGTCACAGCCCTCTTGGCCACTGACAACAACCTTCTTACAAAGATGAACAATTCTGAGCCACGGAGAGCTGGAATACTTGGCCAAGGAGAGATGAAAGGCTACGAAAACAAAACAAAAAACAGCAGAGGTGAAAAAGCTTATGGATACAGTGGGGATTGTCAGGAGGGGCCCAGACATTTCTCCCAGGGAAACCATTTGAACACTTGTTGAGCTGCGGACTATCTGGTACCGCCCCAAACTCACTGAGCAGAGTCCTCACGGGAGAGATGGGGACTGTGAGTTTTCCCTAGGTATGGCCTGGGATCCTGATGGTGTCACACTCAAGATGTCAGTATGGCCTGCAGGTGGGCAACAAACTTGGAGTTAAAAAGAAAAATAAGGCTTGGGGTTGGAGAGATGGCTCAGTGGTTAAGAGTACTGTCTGCTCTTCCCAATGGACCTGGGTTCAATTCCCAGCACCCACAAAGCAGCTCACAACTGTCTGGATCTCCAGTTTCAAGGGATCTGACACCTAAACACCAATGCACATGAAGTAAAACTAAATAAAAAATTATTTAAAAATAATAAGTTTGCAAAAAGAAAAATAAGGTTTTGTTTTGTTTTACATCATAGGGGTTTGGGGAGAAAGAGAAGAAGTCAGAATAGGGGGAAATATACAGCCCAACCATCAAAGCCTAAACCATCTCCCTTTAACATCCCGTCCTTTACAGGAACATTCTCTTCTCTGTGCTGTGCTCCCAAACAAAAGCTGCATCTGAACTGAGTCCTACCCCATCCTGCCACAGGTAAATACCCAACTCAGGAGATTATAAATGTATGTAAATAGAAACTGAGAGAAAGGCAATATATAAAGCCGTTAGCTAAAATGTTTTTGCCACGCTCATGAGTGGAGGCGCAAATGTATAAATACGTAATATGCATTCTACAACATCTTTGAAAATACATTTCCGCTCAGATAGGAATTTTGATAGTGACATTTGATTATCTCCCTTCCATAGTTTAAGGTGGCAATATACCACAAATTTGCCTAGTAAAAAGATCGTGCTGTGTTTTTATTGGATTACGCATGTCCTCTGCACTTATTGCTTTGACATGTAAGGAGAGAATTGTAAAATTATAAAGTAAAATATCTGGGGAATAAGAATACTATGACTCCCCAAGCCATGTACATTTAAAAAAAAATGTACAAAGGCAATAAAGAGACGGTGAAATAAGTATCTTTTTTTTCTCTCTTAAGAATCATAAAATACAGTTGTACCTGTTAAGAACATTGTGTGAAGGAGGCTGTGAAATCGCTGTAGGGAGGGCCCAAAGGCTCAGGAATGGAAGCTGGTCCAGTTAGATGTATGAACAGACTACAGCCCCTTCAGGGACAGACTACAGCCCCTTCAGGGGTGAACAATTCCTAGATGTTGATCTTAGATTTGTACATGCTTACTGTCGATGCCCAGAAAGTGCATTATAGAACCTGTAAATAAGTATTGGCTTCAGATGTGCATCGACTTGCAAGCCACTTACCCCCACGAGGCAGCGCCTCACAGTAACTTTCTTCTTTCTTTTCTCTTGAAGAAAACACTGCAAAACCCCAGGAGCAACTGACATGTTCTGAAATGTTTTCATAAAGATTAAACTATATAGTTAACTTTAAGGAGCAACGTTTCTAACACCAGATAAAGTCTTGAAACCCAGCTTGCTTCACCATTCAATAAAATTATGACTCATTTCAGTAAGAACATGCTTTTTTAGTAAGAAAAAAAAAGAGCTTTCTGAGCTATGTTTGAACTCCTAGAGCACTTGAGACAGTCACAAACCCAGTCAGCAGAAGTCTCAGACTTCTAAAAGATTAAAGGCAAAATTAATTGGTTTGTATTGAGAATGAAAAAAAAAAATCCCCAAGGGTACTGGTTTATAAACAGAAGTAAGACTAAAACTCCCCTAAAATCCCCCAATCGCCAATCCTTATAAATTCAGCACTTTCGCACATCGCTCCTTTGGGAGCCTGTAGCTCAAGTAACAGGAATGTCTTTGCTGACAGCTGGTAAAACTCTCCAAATCACACCCACCACGACACGGACTTGGTCATTACTGTTTAGCTCAGTGGTTCTTAGCCTTGCTAATGCTGCGACCCTTTCACACAGTTCATGTTGTGGTGAACCCCCAAACATAACATTGTTTTTGGTTACTACTTCATAGCTGTAATTTTGCTGGTTACGAATCCTAATATAAATATTGGATGTGCAGGATAACTAATATGAAGACCCTGTGAACCAGTCGATCGGCCCCGGAGGGTCGAGACCCACAGGTTGAGAAAGGCTGGTGTAGCTGCGCGCAGTGTGTGTGTGTGTGTGTGTGTGTGTGTGTGTGTGTGTATGTGTGTGTGTGTGTGTGTGTGTGTATGGGGGGGGGTTCCTGAGAATTGCTAGGGGCTGTGTGTTTGGGATCTAGTGGGTTTGTCCAGCAGGTGTGTGAAGCAGGACGCCAGCGCACTATGCAGGAGGCAGAGGTGCGCGGTGGGCACCGCCTGGCGTGGGTGGGGCCGGGCTTGTGTCTAAGTGGGGGAGGAAGGGCTTGGGACTAAAGGTTGGTGCTGAGTGGGGTGCAGGATCTGGGGGGGGGGGGAGAGCTGAGCCCGAGGTCCTGTCTGTCAAGGGCTACAGCTACGCGTCTGCTTGGATTTAAGTGTCCTCGGTCACTTCTCAGTGGATTGAAGCTGTCCCTTCAAAACTAAAAGTGAAAAAGTAGAACTAGCCAAAAAAGGTTGGCGGGGGAGGGGGCGGGCCGTGCTCCCACTCTCTATTCAACGGGTCATCCCTCATCCCTCATCCCGCTCCCGGGTGTGTTGGGGGCGGGGGAGAGCGCAGCCGAAACTGCCAGCGCAGGAGGGTCCCCCACGCATCTGGGTGCCTAGGAGTGGAAGCGCTGCTGCTCGGGGCTCGGGAGCCCTCGGCACCCGCCGAGCCCCGGGAAGCGGCACCGGCCGGACCGGGGGTCTGTGAGCCGGCGCCACCCGGCCGAGAAGCGGGGTTGGAGCAGGAAAAGGCGCCGCGGCGGGGCCCGGGCGCCCCTCCCTAGCTCGGGCTCCCGGCCCGCCCGCCCGCCGTCCCGGGCGCGCTGCGCGCCAGGAGCGGCCCCGCGGCGCGGGAGGCGAGCGCGAGCCGCGGCC